TTTTTTCAAAATATTATGCTTCATTTTCCAACCAAAAAGATTTATGATTTCTCTCTATATATATATATATATATATATCTATGTATATATATATATATATATATATATATATATATATATATATATATATATATATATATATATATATATATATATATATATATCTATGTATATATATATATATATATATATATGTATATATATATATATATATATATCTATATATATATATCTATGTATGTATATATATATATATCTATATATATATATATATATATATATATATATATATATCTATGTATATATATATATATGTATATATATATATATATATATATATATATATATATATATATATATATATATATATATATATATCTATGTATATATATATATATCTATGTATATATATATATATCTATATATATATATATATATATATATATATATATATGTATATATATATATATATATATGTATATATATATATATATATATATATATATATATATATGTATATATATATATATATATATATATATATATCTATGTATATATGTGTATATATATATATATATATATTTATGTATATATATATATATATATATATATATATATATGTATATGTATATGTATATGTATATATATATATATATATATATATGATTTTATATATACAGGTGTCCATATAAAGTTCAGGTGCACTTTAAAAATTTATAATAACTTTTATTTGTATTTGCGATAGAAATAATCTGTAAAAAATGTTATAAAATTTAATGTACCTAGTTTTAAGTATATCTAAAATAACTAATGTGATTTCAGGCATTACTGTAAATCAGTTGTCAAATTTTTTCCGTGAACTGCAAAATCGTATTACCCTTTGTATTGCTAATGATGGTGGACATGTGGAAACTTAAAAAAAATTCAATAAAACCTTAAAACAGAGATTTACTTCTTTCTAATGCTTTTTACAAATCGAAAATACAAATACAGTTAAACATTCTTTACAGTACACACGAACTTTATGGACACCCTGTATATAATGAAATGGATTAAACCGACACTTATTTAATATATTTTATGTTTATGCGTTATTTTTTATAGATATAATGTTCTTAAGTGAATGCTCTGTTTTTAATTAGACAGTGATAATTACATTTACCGGCCTTAGTGTACACAAGAATAAAACAAAGTAAAATTAAAACTACAGATCCTCGAAGCAATCTACATTAAAAAAAAATAATTAAGCCGAGACTGAAGCCGACCCCGAATAAAATCAGTTACGAAAACTGTAATAATTTTCTAAAATGTCTATAAAAAAAAAAGAAAAGTTTTCACAATTTAAAGCGATTGACCATGACATTCCGTAATAAAAGAAAAAAAATCCATAGCGGATATTTTTTTCACGTTCTAATGAACGCTAAAGCTTAACTGTTAACCGTTGCATTTAAAAGCAAAAAAAAAAAAAAAAAAAAAAAAAAAAAACAAACAGTAATGGATAGCTACACATAGAATATGGGTTAATTAGTAAGATTTCTATTGCTAAATCATAATTATCCCCAAAACAAAATTTTTACAATTTAAATAATTTTTCTTGCTTAAAATAATCTGGAAAAGTTTGCTAAGCCGTAAGAAAAAAAAAAAAACAAATAAAAAAAAATCAAAAAAAAAATCAATCAATGCATCATTCATCCCAGACAGAACGGTAAAAAAAAATAAAGAAAAAATACAAAAGAATAAAAAAAAAAAATCACTACGACGAATCCCCTGTCTTCTTTCATGCAAATGAAACGACTTTGGCTTCTTTGGAGTCAGTTTGCATTTTGACCTCATTGAGTCGGGTCTTTCGTTTTTTCGAGTTTTGTATAAAACAGAGGTTAGTAATATAAATTTAGTACCATCACTTTCTGGCGAGCAAATCAAACTTCATAGACGCATAAAAACAAAGTAAACTTTTTTTAGTAAGCAAATAATACAAAATAAGTACGAAAAGGACGATTTCTTGTCGCATTAGAACAACATTTTTTTTAAGCGTTTCACCCCAAGCAAGGGCAGGAAGCCACTAGCACGCAAGGGGTTACAGAGAGTTGGAGCGAGAGCAAATAGGAGTGATAGAGGAAAAGATGAAGAGAAGGATAGAAGATAGATCAGGGCATCTGGAGACGTCGACTGACATTACATTTGAATAGTTGGAGATTATAGCTATCAGGGAAACAGGAAGAGAGGAGGGAGTTCAACAGGTGAGGGGTGCGAGACATGAAGCTATCGGAGTAGAAGAGACGGCTACATTTAACAGTTTCGACAGTGAAAGAGTGTAAGCGAGATCATGCAGAATCATTTGACAAAGTACGGCACAAAGATCTATTTGAATTGCTAGGGAAACTCGATCTAAATGGGTTGATCATTAAGCAAAGATATATTTGAAATGACGCGGTATAAAAGCAAAAATGAGGCGGTGACCCGCGACACCACGCCTGCCTATAGGATGGCGGGTAGCTAGCCGCGCACAGTATTCCATCATTCAATTTTTAAGGACATGGCACAGTGGATAAAAGCGTTGGTTAGATCCAGTAACAGGACCCAAAGAGTTGTGAGTTCAATACCTGGTTAAGGCAGTGGAGAACTTGGAGAGGTGAATTAACAGGAGATAACTGACATCCATTAGACATGGCACGTGGAACTAGAACAGTCTACCCCAGCGAACGAAATAAAGGGTTCAGTTCAACATTCCAACCCCCTGAAGATGACCGGAGCGTACAACATTGTGATAAATATGACAACAAAGATGATTTGGTTTGGTCTGTTTTGTTTTACGGCATATCAACCACAATGGGTTATTTAATGCCGACAAAATTTTCATTGTTGGCAATATTTTTTCCGAAAATTTATTCCTGGTAATATTTTTTTTTCCTTCAAAAAATTTTTCTGGTAATCATTTTCCTTTGCTGGTAATATTTCCTTTTCAAAAATGTATTGCTGGTAATATTCGCTTTTCAAAAATGTATTGCTGTAATGTCACTGGATCTAACCAACGCCTTTATTCACTGGGCCATGTGTCCTCAAGTGACAGAACCCAAAGAGTGCGAGTTCAATACCCGGTTAAGGCAGTGGAAAACTTTCAGAGGGAAATTAACAGGAGATAACTGATAACCGACATCCATCAAACATGGCACGTGGAACTCGAACAGTCTACCCCAGTGAGCGAAATAAAGTGTTCAGTTCGACATTCCAACCACCTGAAGAAGGCCGGAGCGTACAACGGCCGAAACGTTGTGACAAATATGGCGACAAAGATGAGGACAATAGTCCGACTAATGTAAATACTCAACCTCAATGGGTTATTTAATACCGACAAGATTTTTATTATTGGTAACATATTTTTTCAAAAATGTATTGTTGGTAGTATTTTTTTTTTCCAAAAATGTATTGCTGGTAGTATTTTTTTTTCCAAAAATGTATTGCTACTAATATTTTTTTTTTACAAAAATATATTGCTGGTAGTATTTTTTTTACAAAACATTTTGTTGGTATTAAAATCTATTTTTACACTTTCATAGTGTTTTGACTCCAGTTAGGGGGTTAACTATTTGACCATAGCTGGGACACTAACAGGTGCTACCGCCCCGGATCAGGATGGACCTAGGAAGACCAATAATAAAGGTGTTTTCACGATCCTCAAAACATCCTGATCTTGCTGCTGGATGTAGTTTATCGTCTTACCCAGGACGGTATTTCATTTTTTTTTAACAATAATCTCTCGTCAGATTACTACAATAATTTTCTCTACAAGTCTTAAAAAATACACTTCTAATTTAAATAATTTAATCTAGTTTGTTTAGGTTATATTTTACGAAACCAGAATTTCCGTCTATTACATAAAAAAAAAAGAAAAGCTTCGTGTCTTACCTGCTATTACTTTAGTTGCTACTAAAAACTAAGTTAATATTAGTAGACTGCTTCCATAGTTTTTGCCAGGGTGTCGCGGACTGGTTTGTTTCTTTACGGTTTATCAACCTTTTGCGGGTTATTTAAAGCCAGAGAATATTTTCCGAATGTAAGAATATTTTGAGACGATAAGGATTTACTGATACAAGTCCTACTAATTAATTATCAATTGTGAAAAGACAAAATAAGAAAAAGAAAGAACTAACCATCTATTGAAAGAAGATCACTATTCGTATTACTTCGGAAGTGTGCTAGTCAAACTCTCTGTCTTCGGACGGAAAGGATCCCCAGACGATGCTATATGTCGAAGGGCAGAGTCTCGTCTCGGGAGACAGCTACCTAAGCTTTGGGTAGTTTGAGCCGAGCAACCGGGCTCGGGTACCCCACAATAACCTTGGCCTTGTGTCGCATCCGACCGCGTGGGATGCGACACAACTGTAAGAAGACAAACTGTCAGCGAGAGAAAAGGTCCAGTCGATAGATTAAACTGTTTCGTACGGCTTATCAGCGAGAGAAAAGGTCCAGTCGATAGATTAAACTGTTTCGTACGGCTTATCAGCGAGAGAAAAGGTCCAGTCGATAGATTAAACTGTTTCGTACGGCTTATCAGCGAGAGAAAAGGTCCAGTCAATAGATTAAACTGTTTCGTACGGCTTATCAGCGAGAGAAAAGGTCCAGTCAATAGATTAAACTGTTTCGTACGGCTTATCAGCGAGAGAAAAGGTCCAGTCAATAGATTAAACTGTTTCGTACGGCTTATCAGCGAGAGAAAAGGTCCAGTCGATAGATTAAACTGTTTCGTACAGCTTATCAATTCATTGCCAGACAGAAAATATTTTCCGAATGTAAGAATTTTTTTTGAGGTGATAATGATTTACTGATACAAGTCCTATTAGTTAACCCATAGCTTGAGGGAGGCAGAATAAGTGGAATCCTAGTATTCCCTTGATATTTACCCGTAAGTCAATATGATGGACCCGACAGGAATTGGAACTCGGTTCTCCGATTAACAATTCTGAGCCGTTATCTGTTAATAAACCACTCGCACATTTAAGATTACAACACCTGGTATTCCCCAATGGTTACCCGTCTAGGTACTGACCAGACTCAACGTTGCTTAACTTCTGTGATCGTACGAGAATAGCTATTTGAACGTGATATGGCTACAAGTGCCAGAAGTTGAAAAATCCAAAATGCATATGATAGTTCGTAAAAGTACATAGAATGCTAGCGAAAATATACTGATCGTCGAATAACGCTTCAGTTATAAAATCTACATCCCTTTGAATATATTTTATCAATTTTGATAATGAAATCTTTTATTGTTCAACATGAAGCCTATTGGATTTCGTTTGTGCAGGACATGTAGTTACTCAGATATTCACATGTTAATGATGAAAAGATGCCCAATACTTAACAAAAACAAACTTTTATCATCAAAATGTTTATGTTATTATTAAGAGGAAACACCAAAATGTGAAAAATCATTTTTTGAAATCTTTTTTACATCCTTCAAAATTTTAGTTAAATATCTTTTTTCTGTCTATATTTCTGAGATGAGGTATTATGTACAGTATTTACATTAGTCGGACTATTGTCCTCATCTTTGTCGCCATATTTGAGACAACGTTTCGGCCGTTGTACGCTCCGACCTTCTTCAGGTGGTTGGAATTTCGAACTGAACACTTTATTTCGATAAAAAAAAATGCAATGATAACAGCAAAACTTGCAATATGAGGACTGGTAAAAAATGGTTGCTGAAAACATTAGGTTTATAATACCCAGAAATTCATACCCAGATGTCCCCAAGGACACATGGCACAGTGGATAAAGGCATTGGTTAGACCCAAAGAGTGTGAGTTCAATACCGGGTTAAGGCAGTGGAGAACTTTCAGAGGGAAAATTAGTAGGAGTTAACTGATAACTGACGTTCATCCAACATGGCACGTGGAACTAGAACAGTCTATCCCAGTGAGCGAAATAAAGGGTTCAGTTCGAAATTCCATATTTGTCACAACGTTTCGGCCGTTGTGACAAATATGGCGACAAAGATGAATAGTCTGACTAATGTAAATGTATCTTTTTTCTATTGAGTGAAAAGGTGGACGATAAATTAGTCTGGATTTGAGCAACTTCGTATTGTTGAAAACACGTTGATTAATAATCAATAATCAGATAATATTTATATTAATTCTAATGAAACATTGATGGGTTAATCACATATGAATCAATTTTTTTTTTAAATGTTTTCTTTTTTAGAAAATTTTAGTAATTTTTTTTTATGCACCCATTACCAAGCACTTATTTCATTTTATGAAATTTCGAGAAATACTTTTGTTTGTAGAGTTAAATGTTTATATTAATTATAAGTACAAGTACTCGGAGAATTTAAATCATCAATCTTTTTAGTTAAACAGAACTCCTGGTAAGAGAAAATCTGCTCCGAATCGTAAAATAAAAAAAATATATAATAAAACTAATATTATTTAATGAAAAAGGATTTCAATGATTTTTAACAAGTGTTTTTAATTTTTAAATTTTAATTAGAATAACTTGTAAACTTTTAAATCTTTTATAATTAGGTATTAATTTTTACGGGTCAGGTGATATTGTTATGTAAAAAAAAAAAACTGTATTTACTAATCATAAATGGTAAATTTTACTATAATTCGTCGACCTCTAAATATTTTTAAAATAAATTTTTGTGCATGTATAAACGTGCGGATTTTTGTAAATACGGACGTCCATACACGACATTATCAGATAAAGTTTAAGCGCTAAAGCCAAAGTACTTAAAATTCAATAAAATATTAGAATGTTTAAACATTTTAAAGTTTAATGGGTAGATTAAAAAATATTTTTAAAAAGCGTTTATTTGTAGTCGTCATGTAATTTTATAAGTTCTAACATTCTTGGATAAATTTCCCAAAAATCAGGTTGTCGATAAATGTATCAACTCCTTATGAATGTTAAAAATAATGTTAATAAATAAAAAAAGCTTCGAGAAATATATTTCATTTTTAAAATGCATTTAAAACCTTAGGATCATCTTTTTGGGAGCTATCTGTCTATATATCTATCTATCTATCTTTCCATATATATATATATATATATATATAACAATAAAAAAACTAAAATCTTCAGACACACTGGGTTGTAGATTAATATTCTTTCGTTTATTTTTTTTATTATTTCATTTTATATATATATATATATATATATATATATATATATATATATATATATATATATATATAGTGGGTAGCAAAAGTATTTAACACATTGGTTTTTCTTACATATCTCAAAAGATAACAGATCAATTTCAACGAAACGTATAGGAAATATTTAAACGAACATTGTCGATCAAAACATAGAAGGAAAATTTAAAACCACTGTTTAGGGAAACATTTATTAACAGTAACAGCTACCCACTGTATATATATATATATATATATATATATTTATATATAAAGAAAGAACAGTAAGATATATAATCTAGTGTTGTTATTGATATTTTTATTTTTACAAAACAGTGCTCAATGTAAATTTACAGAGCATAAATATTATAAATTAACTGGTTTTAAATATGATATCTTCGCTACACACTAATAACCATGTTTCAAAAATGGAAGCTAAAAACTTCAAATTTAATTTTGTATTTGAATTAAAAAGATTAGTTCCATTTTATCCTCAAGAGAATTTTGGAGTCTTGAGGATGATTTAGAACTAATGATTTTAATTTAATTACAAAATTAAATTTGAAGTTTTTAGCTTCCATTTTTGAAACATGGTTATTACTGTGTAGCGAAAAAAACATTTTAAACTGTTTAATTTATAAATTATATATATATATGTGTGTGTGTGTGTGTGTGTGTGTGTGTGCGTGTGTACATATATAAAATGGAATTCAAGATAACATTACTGATTTGTGGCATAATTTTAATTTTTAATATCTCCTTTTTCTTTTCTTTTTTAAATGGAAAGGAACTGTATAAAAATTCCAGTGTAAATTTTTGCAAATTAAAAATTTATCTTAAAGTTTTTGGTTTTCAGAAAAATTGAAAAGATTTTACTTGCAAGAATTTTATCAAATCGCAAGTTATAGACACAAAGAGAGAAATGATTTATAACAGCTTTGTAAGAGACAAGTCTATAAAAAATATTCCTCTTTCTTCACCAGATAATTTTTCTCTAAATAACAGCTTTTAAATCTTAATCGGTGCTTACCTTTTACACCTCTAAATCATTTATAAATATTACTTACTGTATATGGAATCCAATCCAAATATAGTGTTCCTGCAACAATTTAACCTAAAAGTAAATAATATTTGATTTAATGCAGATTAATTAAACTTTAAATCAGCAACATTTTTTTTTTTTAAAAACCTTTCAGAAAAGTATATTTTATATTTGAAATATCTTTTAATAAAGAGAATTATATTGTGTTGAGAGTTCTGTCAATAAGGATAAATTTATAGATTTTATTGCTAAGCAGAATAAAAAAAGATAAGAATAAGTTTAAATTCAGTTTGAAATTCATCGAAGTAATTTGCTTATTGTAAATCTTAAACCTATTAATATTAAAGAAATATATTTCATTTTTAAAATACATTTAAAACCTTAGATTTCACATTTTGGGGAAATAGCTATATATATATATATATATATATATATATATATAAAGAAAGATCAGGAAGATATATAATCCGGTGTTCTTATAGATAATTTTATTTTTACAAAATAGTGCTCAATGAAAATTTATAGAGCATTAATATTATAAATTAATTGATTTAAAATATGGCTTCTTTCGCTACATAGTTCTAACCATGTTTCAAAAAGCCAAACTTTCCCTGACGATCCGTTTAGGTGAAACCTAGGTAGGTTTGTCTGGCTCACTAGGTGTATCTAGGTTTGCTCTACGGTTGTATTGAGCTCTTTTGTTAGTTAGTTGTTACTCGTATCGGGGTTTTTTCTTTGGGCTTCAGACCTGCATCTGTGCGATTTTTTTGTCGGCAGAAGTCCATGTTTGTAGCTCTTTCTTTTTTAAAACCTTTTTCCCTCGAGATTGATTTGATTAGCAAATCAAAAATTCGAGGGTTTTTTCGAAACGAGTCTAGTTTTCTATATATTTATATATATATATATATATATATATATATATATATATATATATATATATATATATATATCCACACACACATATATATATAATTATATCCACACACACACACACATATATATATAATTATATCACACACACACATATATATATATATATCCACACACACACACACACACACATATATATAATTATATCCACACACACACACGCACATATATATAATTATATCCACACACACACACACATATATATAATTATATCCACACACACACACACATATATATAATTATATCCACACACACACACACACACATATATATAATTATATCCACACACACACACACACATATATATAATTATATCCACACACACACACACACATATATATAATTATATCCACACACACACACACACGCACACATATATAATTATATCCACACACACACACACATATATATATAATTATATCCACACACACACACATATATATATTATTATACACACACACACACACACATATATAATTATATCCACACACACACACACATATATATATATAATTATATCCACACACACACACACACACACATATATATAATTATATCCACACACACACACACACACACATATATATAGTATATCACACACACACACACACATATATATAATTATATCCACACACACACACACACATATATATAATTATATCACACACACACACACACATATATATAATTATATCCACACACACACAATATATATATATATATATATATATATATATATATATACAAAAGCGTTCTTGTATTCGTCAAGTAATTTTTACAGTAATGTACACTTTACTTAAATTTGCCAAACATTAAACTATCGATCAACAATACAAACACCCACTTCTGTGCTAAAAAATGCTTTCCTGCAATATTTTAAACTAAAATTAAGTAATATTTGTTTTAATTCATATTAATTAAACTTTAAATCTGCTAATTAATAAATAAATTTTCAGAAAAGAAATAATAAATGAAACGGTCCATATACACAAAAAAAAA